CGCTTGCTCCATTTCTGCAGATCAGTTTTTGTAAATGACTTCATCAACAGCCGCTCGCGCCACCTGCTGGTGAGTGACTGACAGCAGCTGGAGATCACGCATCGGTGCTCTACTGTTATTCCTGCAGATCCCGGATGTGCAATGGCGAATTTTCTGCCGAATTTTAACCACTGAATTTGTGGAAGCGAATTTGGAAAGTGATTTTGCCTGTCGAAATATTATACATCGTATTTTTAAACAGATTGAATATTTTGGAAGTGAATTCTGGAAGGTGAATATGAATTATTGAATTTTTAATTATGAAAATGTGTGTGAAATATTTTGAATTGAAATATTCACAGCTTAAATGAACAACTATGTTACATTTCAGGGCCTAAAAATGCAAGCCCTGGAAATACAAGGCATTAAAATGCAAGCACTGTTAATGCAATGCATTATTTTTTCAGTTAGTGCTATTCAACATGCTTTTTTGTTAAAAAGACATATGGCATTATTTTACTTCCATACTATCAGGCACAGAAAAGATGGGTTGTACAAAATGATTTGAATGTTGGGTGTATATTTGCCGCATGCTTAAAGACAGTTCTCTGAGGTTCCATACTTATAGATGTCCCTCTTTTCATAGAATTAGAACTGTTTTTAAAACTTTATAGTCATAGTTATCATTATAGCATCCTTGGTGTGACTGGACCTTAACTTTGTGGTGACAAATTTTGCATTAAAAAGCACTCACTGAAATTTTCTTAAAAAAACTGAAAAAAATCAGTTCTCTTTCTAGCTATTGTTGCAGAAATTACACACTTTGCCTTTAAAGGCAAAAGCTTAGGGACTCGTGGTACACTGCATCTCGTGCTTTCGTGCGACTTCCCCATTCAGTGGTGTGAGATACCAGGTCATTCCTATGGACAGAGCATGGCCATAACTTGCATTCTGGCGGCTGATCATTGGAGAGCAGGAACAGAGATGGGACTTGAGGTCAGCTGGTAATCAGCAGACAGCAGCGGGCCTCTCTAATGAAGATGCCTGGCATGGCTGACAAGCTAAAGCAGATGCAGGAGGGATGAATGAGACAGAGTCATATGCTAATAGATTTCACTGTGATGACAGGATGAGGTCATGCTGTGCCAGGCATGTCGCCTCAATGCCAGCCACTACGAATTCCGTCTCATCTGCTTTGCTATTATGATGATATTCTTTCTTTTGAATTTTTAGAATCTTTCTAAAAGAATTCTGTCATATATAAATGACACAACATAGATGTTGGAAAGAAAATTTGAGTACTTGTTCACAAAAAGTGCTGTGAGTAGTTGCCGGTGTCAAGATACAGTCACATTTACCGCTGTTTGGTTAATTTTCACAGGCGAAATCCAGTAATTTCAAAAAGAATCCATGTGATGGTGAATTTCGTGTCTGGGTTTCTCCACGCAGATTTGCCAACAAATTCATGTTCACCAACAGAAAGCTGCTTGGTTTGAAAGTGTCTTCTGTGTGAGCTGTGCTGCATACATCTACACTCCCTGAAATTTTGCTAATGTGACCGCACTTTTATGCTATATGCTTGCTAGGGTGCACTGAACGGTTTTTAGTGTGTCTGTATGCATTCAGAGTGTTTACATAAGGTGGTCTGTTGGGTTTTTGACATGTTGCTTTATGGGTTCAAAGGTGTTTGGTTGTCTGCTAGAATTCTAGATATCATTCGGATTCCTCCTTTAAATCAGTGGTTCTCAACCAGTGGGGTCACAGGATGACTCAAGTATTCAAATTAATCAGTTATTGTTATTAATATATTATTATTGATTAATATAATCAAATGCTGATCTAAAATAAAATTCTAAAAAAAAACACTAACACAAATATACTAGTATTTCAATATTCAAATCAAATATCTGTATTACTTGTATTATTTGAGATGTTGAGCATGTGTGGGGTTGTATTATTATGAGTAACCTTAGATGGCAGACTTTGCGGCACTATATAAAGAGCCCATCAGCAGCTCGCCTGCCATGTGCAGTGCCTATAACAACTTCATTAGTGCCAACTGAACAATGCACAGTTGTTTATTATTATTTTTATTATTTAACAACTTATTATTATATTATTATTTAGCTTTAACAAAAAACCCAGCTATTCAAAACTATTTAAAGGGGTCATATGATGCTTTTTTAAAGATGATTATTTTGTGTATTTGGTGTAACAGTATACGTTGACTGGTATGTGTTTGCAGTACACAAGCCACGGTTAAAACAGCTGACTCCACTTTGATGTGATGCACTCTCTCTCTATCTCGCTCTCTCTCTCTCTCACACGCCGTGCGCACACACACACACACACACACGATGCGCAAAACTCTGCATTTAAGGAAAACTTGAAATCGCATCATATGACCCCTTTAAAACTTGATTCTCAGACACTAAATGTTTCAACTTACAATCAAACAAGATGATTTTAAAGGGTTTGTTCATCCAAAAATGAAGATTCTGTTATCATTGACTCATACTTATGTGGTTCCAAACCTGTATGACTTTCATCCTTCTGTGGATCACAAAAGAATTTTTTTTTTTAAGAACTTTAGTAACCAAACTGTTTTGGTGACCATTGACTTCAATTACATGGGGTAAAAAAACACTTGCACACCATGTTGTCATTCTGAATTCATGAACACAAAAAGCAGATGTTTAGCATGATGTTCTGGCTGCTCTTTTTCGTACAATGAAAGTGAATCGTGACAGGGCTGTCAAGGTCCAAAACTGACATTAAAACGTATTAAAACATACACACGTGCTGTTATTTTAAGTAATATAAAAACTTTGTTTGAGGAAAAGACCAAAACTGAAAATATTCCTGTCTGCTTACAACTCTCACATTTAAGTTGTGTTCACTTTGTGTGCTGTGACCAATTTATCATCAGTAACAAGACAAACAAAAACCAACGAACAACAACATTAGTTTGGAATGATGTGAGTGTAAGTAAATTAACTTTCATTCACAAAAAGTTCATAAAATCAAAGTGATTCATATAAATCGAGTAGTTAATATGGAAGGCCGTTTCCGCCACTGAATAAAAAATAAAAAGGTAATTGTGATTTTTGTTCTCGCAATTGCAAGTTTACATCTTGCAATTCAGATTTTTTTTCTCAGAATTAAGTCAAACTCACAATTCTGACTTTTTTTTTTTTAAGTTTAACCAAATTCTTCTGAAGAGACACAATCACAATCTTTTTTTTATTATTTAAAAATGCTTGTTATGCAAGAACTAATGAAACTTCCGTTTCTTATATTTGATGTGCTCTATGTATGTGTGTTGACTAAGTTTACATGTGAATATAAGTCTAAATGAAATCTATTCATCATATAAAGCAATTGTGTATCTTCAGAAGACAATAGTTTAATATTGGTGGTGCAGTCTCTGACCTTGTGTCTCCAGTGATGTGAGATCATGGCAGGATGCATTCTGACAGAAGCAGGTGTTATAGGCGCCAGGACTGAATCTCCCAGTTCTGACATTGCCACCCCTTTAGACCCTGTATTATACTCTTAAAAATAACAGTGCCAGGGTAAACAAAAATGGCAATCTCACATTTTAATGTTAAAAACTTTTTATAGCCTAAAGAACACTTTTCTGTTTCTTTTTATAGCCTAAAGAACACTTTTTCAAAGAACTTCTGTGAGGTGGGAAAGTTCCATGGATTTTAAAGATTCTTCATGGAACTGTACACCCTGACAAAGAACCATTTAAGAACCTATAATTGTAAGAATGAAAATGGAGAACACTTCACACAGCATGCAGTCTGCGCATTTCGCTTCACTTTACACATGGACAGGTGGTCTGGGGGACAGTGAGCAGTGTTTTAATCCGACTGCCTGCCTCAAGGGCTGTGAACACAGGAGTGCTGATAGCTGACATTATGTTCTCAATATATCCATCCAAATCAAATGAAGGCCATGTGATCATGCATGTCTTTTGATATGCAATGCTTTCAGCACAAACTGTAGAGAATGAATCTGCAGAGAACTAAGTAACTGTAACAATTCCCATGAATCATATGACTGCCCAACCATGTTTTTATGACATGTGTGTCTTATGTTTATAGATTAGATGGTGCCCTCTAATCTAGAGTTGTAGATTAGATGGTAAAGGTGATGGATTGGCCCCATTATGTTTATATATGAAACATATTTATATATAATATAATATAATAATATAAATACAGTATATAAATGTATATACATGTAAATATATTCAAAATATATACTGTATTTGTGTGTATTTATATATACATAATAAATAAACAGTACACATACATATATTATGTAAATAAAAACTTTTATTTTGGATGCGATTAATCGCAATTAATAGTTTGACAGCACTAAAAAAATTGATTTCTTCTTCAAAATAAAATCTTACCCCAAAATAGTGGTATGTTTCTAAATGAATATGCTTTCACCAGATACATTTTACAAAAATGTGTTTTTTGGTTACAGTCTATCACCCATATCACAATTTTACTCTAAAAATAGCTTGTTACAAATTGGGATATACAATCCATTTTATTGTTTATCCTATTTGGTGTTGAGGAAATTGCATATGAATTTAAATGAATGTTTGTGGAAATGTTTATGGTTGATATTTATGATTTAAATATGAAATATATATGATATACTGTATATGATTTTTACTGAGTCACACCGGACAGACAGTGAAAGGGAACACTGGACCAATCTGAAGAACATGGAACAACGTCAATTACTGACATAAAATACAATGACTAATGTCTGGCCACTTAATTCACGCTTAAAATGTCTGAATGTCATTTCATTAGTTTAAAAACCAGAATGTGTACCTTTGCCTTCATTTAAAACTTTACTATTTAAAAATGAGCAAACTAATGCTTTTTGCTGAAAAAGTGTACTTGTGCTTTCTTTAAAATCTTTCTGTAAAATAAATACCACTTGGTTTGAATTTGGAATCAAATGCAATGCCATGCATACATTTATAAATGAGACTTAACTATTTTTTCCCATTGTATGTGGTTGAGAGTAGGTTGACTTACTATTTGGTAAATCCAGGAAGAAATGGACATAAAGATTGTCATACTCATAACCCTGAGCAGAAACTGAAAGGAAAAACCGACACATTATGATATGAGCAGTAACTTCTGAGACCCAGTTTGTGCTAAAATAAAAAAAAAAAAATATATATATATATATTGCAAACACTGAAATTTAAGCACGCATTTAATGTACTGATGTTATACTGCTTTGCCCACAGTAAATCTAGGCTAATCTTTATGATACAGGATAACTGTTAATACTCACCAATCTCTCCATTTACAATCAGGCGAAGTATCCCTAGAGGTGGCTAAAGGAAGTGTTTGGACAATCAGGATGAAAATGTCACCTTTTTTATTTGGAATATATGTATGACACCATAAGTCTGGATAAGAATTGCAATTCTTACCATTTCAAAGTCTTGGCCAACCAGGCTGTTGAGGTAGTCTTTGTGACGTGTGTACAGCTATAAAAAAATAAAATAAAAAAAGGAATGCGTGAGAATGATGACACCACCAGAAAATGGTTAGCAATCCACCAGTAAGCCTTGGGCCAGCCAAAGAATTCCATATTGCTCCAGGGACATTGTCCGTGCAGTTTAAGATGATCTGGATAAACAGAGTTTGTTTAAAAAAAGAGCTTATTTTAGCTTATTTTTTCTGCCTAAAAAAACACCTTGTTTGTCCATGACATAAAATATTTATAATAATATATATCCTTTGCACATATGGCAATTTTTTGGCATTTTGCCTTTAGTATGATAGGACAGATCAGAGCTGACAGGAAGCGAAGGGGGCGGGATCAGGAAAGGTCATCGAGTCGTGATTTGAACTCGGGACGCCCGTGGCGCAACAGCGCTGTATGTCGGCGCACTGCCCACAAGGGCAAGGCTATAGGTGCCGACATAGTTTTACATTTTACATTAAATTATTATATTCAGTGCTGCAAAGTATCAATAGAAAACAGTGAACATTTAATTTAAAAAAATTATCAAGTGTTTGTGATATATTTTGTGAAATAACAGCAAGTGAGTGCTATTTGTGTAGCGTGAATAAATGTATACCAAAATAATAAACCAAAAATATAAACCATAAACCGAATAAACTAAAAAAACAGTCATAAGGGTCAATTTTTCTAAATTGAGATTTATACATCATCTGAAAGCTGAATAAATAACCTTTCAATTGATTTATGGTTTGTTAGCATAGGACAATATTTGGTCGACATACAACTATTTGAAAATCTGGAATCTGAGGGTGCAAAAAATAATTAAAATATTGAGAAAATCTGTCTAAATGAAGTCCTTAGCAATAAATATTACTGATCAAAAATTAAGTTTTGAGATATTACGGTCGGAAACTTACAAAATATCTTTATGGAACATGATCTTTACTTAATATCCTTTTGATTTTTGGCATACAAGAAAAATCAATCATGTTGACCCATACAATGTATTTTTCGCTATTGCTACAAATATACCCATGCTACTTAAGACTGGTTTTGGGGTGCAGGATCACAAATGTTTCTAATCCATCCTTTATGAGATTCCGCGTCAGGATGCTGCCTTAAAAGGTACTCACTCAGTCAGTGAGTGAGACAGTGAAACCACCAATCCTAGGCAAGGACAAAGGGACATACATCTCTGTACATGCGCTGCTCTCTCTCTTTCTCCTCCGCATGAATGTGTGATGAGGCGTTCTCCAAATACAGCCTCCACACCTCCCTCTTCTCTCCCTGCGTTTCCAGTCTGGTGTGAAAGACAGTCAAATACACCTTCTGTAATCACAATGAACTCGTCCCAATATTATTCACAAGAGAAATTGACAGAAGTGGTAGGTCTTGCCTGTAGGCTCCTCTATTGTTGTTAAAGTCTGGTTTTATTGTGATTACTCCATTACTGTCAGCTTTTATGGTGCATAATACATATTCATTCTCTTTCAAGCCCAACCTGTAAAACACAGCCACATGTCTGGTTATTTCACATTACTTTAAATGGGTCATGTCATAAAAAAATCGTATTTTTCTTTGTATTTTTGAAATAACAGTGTTTGTAACATTTGTGTAGATTATTTACCTAGAAGTCTTAAAGATGCAGCAACAAAAATGTCAGTTTAATTTTACAGGTAAGATAGAGAGTGGACAATGGTGATATAAAACTACAAAAAAAACTTTTTTTGTGTGTAAAAAACCCCCCAAAAAACTTCAAATGCATTATTAATGGACCTACGGTCAAATAAATTATAAGAAAATGTATGATATGTTTAAGTGGATAAAGAAGAGTATCATCACACTTACTTCCCTGAAGGTCCAAGATCTCCCATGATGTACATGGTCTGCACTGGTGTGTTGATGATGTGACTGTTCTTTATGAACTCCTCCGAAGGCTCCCATGTGATTAAACGGTACTTGGGAACATTAGACTCTCTTAATTGTGTGTATAAAAAAAATGATACAAGGTAAACCTCTTTAACTTTACAAATATGATAAAGTCTTTACAGAAAACCACCTTACAGGCAATTATACTATATACTTCTAGGTACACTTACACAGGACGTCTCTCTTGTCTCCTGTGCCTAACATTGGCCATGCGTTCTGCTAAAAAGGTTGGTGTAGGCTGAGCTGGGATCAGCAGACTCTGAGCTTGCTGTCAATACAATCACAACTTCAGAAAACTGTAAAAACACATGCAGCCTATACATCCATTGGTGAATCTCACCAAACCTGTCGAAACCATGTCCAGTGTTGGGAAGGTTACTTTGGAAATGTAATAGGTTACAGATTACAAGTTACCCTACTTAAAATGTAATAAGGGCTACTCTACTGTTCAAATGTTTGAGGTCGTAAGATTTTTTAATGTTTTTGAAAAAAGTATCTTATGCACAGTGTTGGGAAGGTTACTTTGGAAATGTAATAGTAGTGTAACTATTTCCATTACTTTATTAAAGTAATGTAACTGATTACATTTAATTACTTTTTGATTACTTTTCTAAATTTCTAATGTTTTCAACTGTGTATCATTTTCAAACATGTAAACCAGGCAGGGTTAACCTTACAGTACTATTCAACTGATTACTGTCAGACTTTCGAAATCTTTCATCACTTGAATTAAGATTATATTTCAATTTTAAAGTAGACACTGGATGCAAAATTCACTTTTACATGATGTTTGCATATAAATGTATCTTAGCAGTGTGGACACAACCACCCTACAATGATAAAAATCCATTCACTCCTTTTTTTAATCCCCCAAAATCCTAAATAGTCTCAATTATCAAGCCGTTTTGATTTTCTGAGCTATATATAAACCCATATAGGAAATAAAAGAGTTATCGAATACGCTTGTTCTAAACTCCTGAAACTTTGTTTCGTATTTTAGAGTAGTCACTGCAATTTATGAAAGAAATCAATTAAATCTGTATGTGGGAGTGTGTGTGAAAAAAGCAGATGTAACCCCCTTTGCAATCCTTAACATTTTCATAAGTAACTGTAATTGAATTACATATTTTTTCTCAGTAACTGTAACTGATTACAATTACTTTTATTTTGTAATTAAATTACGTAATTCCGTTACATGTAACTAGTTACTCCCCAACACTGACCATGTCTGGGTCATATCTAACACCAAATCATTATTTATTAAATAAATTAACAAGAAATTTTAATTAGCTTAAAGAAAATGAAGCCTAATTTTGAAATATTAAGATTCTGTATTGTGATATTTTCATGACAATCCTCAATTTCTCACATTCTCTTTTGGCGGGAAAACCTATTCCATTCCGATTGACTTTCATTATATCGACAAAAATAATACAATGCAAGTCATTGGGAACTGAAACTGTTTGGTTATTAGCATTCTTCAAAATAAAATTTTTTGTGTTCAGCAGAAGAAATAAATGCTTACAGGTTTGGAATGACACGGAGGTGAGCAAAAGAAGCTAATTTTTGGGTGGAATATCCCTTTAATGGTCCTAGAATTATGTTTGATTTTCTTTATGCAAAATAAAATTTCTTATTTTGTTCTTTTGATTTTGTCATGAAATATGACCTGGGTATGTTTTTGTCAGGTTTAAAAAAGAAAATGGTAGAGTCAACTGACCTCTTCCCATTTAGAGAAGCGATCAAAGTCTGTGTAGGTGAAAATGTGCTGGTTTTGTCTTCTTTTGGATCTTTCCATTGCCATGATTTCTGTGTGATACTGATGCTCCAGTGGTGTTTGACAATTTGACTCTGTTTGGTAAAGATCCACTTCATACTGCATGTGAATGACAAAGCAGAGCTCATCATATACACTATGAAAACTGGCTATTTAGTATAGGGTGACCAGATGTGCTCGTTTCCTGGGGACAGTCCCAGTTTTTGGTGTTTTGCCCTTGACTGGAGCTGTTCCAGTTTTAGAGCATGTTCAAAACAGCCCACAGATACAATGCAAAAATGCCTGACCAACATAGCCAGCAGGTTATCAGAGCAATCATGTAGTGATTATTTTCACCAATAAATTCGGCTGCAAACTACACTGATTACTTGTCATGCGCTGCTACTTCAGTCAAGAAGAACTTAACCTTGTTGAGAGCAGAGCACTATTATTATCAATGCCCAAAAGAGACAAAAAAAAAAAAAAACACTACACATTAACACCTGCAAGCTACACATTAACACCTGCAACAATTACATTTGCAGAAAACACATACGTTGTGCTCAAAACGAGTCTAAAATGCAAAATAATAAGCCTAATTAAGGAGAGTAAGAGTCATTTCCAAGCACAAACATAAAATACCATTTGAAAAGTTAATGAAAGTGATGAAAGTAAATTAAAGTATTAAGTACCGTACAATTAGAAATGTTTAAAATATTTATTTATCATATGTTCTTATATAATGTGTTTTTGTAAAGTCAGAATTTAGTTATAATATTGTTATAATATAATATTCACTTTCACTTTTTCACTTTGTTTTGCAATGCTTGCTATTCACAATGGTTACTATAACTATTTGCATAGTGTGATTTTTGGTGTATTAAAACCAGTACAAAAATCATAACAATCAAACTAACATAATAATTATTATTAATTTTAATAAAAGCACAGGGAACCCACAACAATTAAATAAAAACATTGTATTGTCCCCATTTTTACAAAAAAAAATAAAAATAAATGATGTCCCCATTTATTTTTAATTCTTAGATAATAACAAGTGAGATTTCAATGATATTTTGACCACTTAAATAGGAAATGTCCCCAGTTTCCATTTTTGAAATCTGGTCACCTTAATTTAGTAGCGCACACAGCTTTGCCCTCACTAAAGACCTTCTCTTGCCAACCAACCACCAGTTCCTCCGCATCAGTGGCTGTGTTAGAAAGGGAAAGAGAACATTATTATCCACCATATGCTAGTGAATTGTGCTGACAGGTTTATATCAGCATCCTTCACGTACTGGAAGCTGCTTGGGTCTGAGAGCTGAAGGTGTCCAGCTCTATAACTCCTCTCTCCTGCTGAGAAAGCACTTGCTGATGGAGATGTTGAGACAGAGCAGCTGTGGAGGTCACACGCTGTATGTGCACTCTAAGACAGAAACAAAACAGTAACAGTAATATGTAATACATGTTGTTTTTGGGCATATTGCAATTGTATTATATTTAGCGACTTAAAGTGCCATGTACAGTAAATACAGTGGGTACATGGATTTGGTAAAATCATTCAGAATCATGGTAAAGAGACCTTTACAAAAAGTAGTATGGCAGTATCATGGTGCACTTATGTGTAAGATGAGCATACTATGGTACTTTAATATTCATAGCATGGAACTGAAATTCGTAAACAATAGTATAACGTTATACATTGTGCTACAAGTTGTTTCTAATACCATGGTACTAGACATGGTAAAGACATTTGGTGCATTGAATAGTGTGTAAACTATTATTATAGATGTCAAGTACACTCAGGCGACGTCACTTACCGTATTTGTAAGTTTTTAACTGCATCCCGGGAACGGTAAAACGATTCTCCGGTGTCAGTGCTCCAGCCGTCGCCCATATCTAACACTCGGCCTCAAAAGATAGAAGTCTTTAGCTTTAGTGTATCATTTGCATCGGTTGACTATTAAAAAACGCACACCAAGCATGAACAAGGATAAGCAGCTTTGACTGGTTTACTTCTTAATGCAATGCTCCGGTAGGAAGTTAATACTACACATCAGAGCGTCTCGTTGCATAGTAACACACTACCGTTACCGGAAGCAGCCGGAAGTCAACCATGCGCATGCTCGGTGCGGATATAAATACCCTGTTCTCAAATCAGCTAGCGTTGCTCTTTGACTCAGTACCACAGAAACGGGGCCGATTACTCTAGCTGATCTGGGAGCGGAAGTGATAGTAAACACACTCCGCACTTCACGTTCACATAAGTGTTGCCAAGTCCGCGGGTTTCCCGCGGAATTGGGTTACTTTTAACACTGTTGCCGCGGCCCGCGGGTTGTTTTTCATGTCCGCGGGTTGAAGCGACTCCAATAACATTATATAATGCGAATTTTAGCTGGGGAACCCCGCCAAAAAACGTGTATTTTACCCACCGGAACGCGGTTTTTAACAGGGGACCCCCTCGAAACACGATTGGGCTAGTTTTAAGCTAGTTTTGAGTAGCAATTGGGCGGGTTTTCTTGTGAAAACCTGGCAACCCATGGCATTTGACCACTGCCAGTGAACTGAAAGCTGTTCCACGTGGTTGTGTTTGTTGTTGAAAAACGAATATAGTGGATTAGATATGCCTGAGGTCGGTTCTTCTTATATCATATATCCCATTTTACTTTAATATTTACTATCTAATATTTAAAATTCTGCTTTATTTATTGAGCATACAGTGTTGCTGCTGGTGCTTTAATTCTGTTTGGTTAGCAGCAGCTTCAACACTTTTTTCATTAATAATTATTTTTTTTCAAATAAATAACGAATAATCTGTTAAAAGCAACATAAAGTGTTGAAATTAACTGTTTAAACCAATTTTTCTTCTCTTTTCTTGTTTCCCAACTGGTGTTCAGCTGATTTTGCTTGTCAGTCAGTCCAACCTGACCAGCTGACAAGTGCCCAAAACGGCTTTATAACCGTGTAACTTGATTGGTTTAGGCCAGCAAAAACCAGCAAACCACCTCAAGATGGTTTAAGCTGTTTATTGAGGCATATATGAGCAAGTTATTAAAAGCAAATATGCAGGCATGGAAAACAAGTATCCCTAGCCTCCAATCGAACTAGGAATAGATATAGTTGCTGCTTGGTAGGGCTAAAGGAATTGTATTTTACACTTTCCACACAACGTGCAGCCTATAGCTGCACAAGAGCACTTTTCTGTCCAAGAGACAGTGTTTCAAGATCAGGTGAGAGATTTACCTCTAGCAAACTCAAAAAGACATTTGTGTCTAAGCAGCATAAATATGCTGCTACTAGAGATGAGATTTCCAGATCAACAAAAACACAGAAGGGAAAAGTGTAATCGGAGTTACAGAAACTGAGGTTTGAGGATTTCAGTGAGTCAGAAAGCGGATGGATTTTGAGGCATATCCTAAAACAATCTGAGCCAAATGAAGATAAACACTTAGAGATTGTGTTTGGTGTGGCCCCATGTTTGCTGGCCCTCATGCAAAGTAGGAGGAAGCCGAGTCGTCTCTTCATGAAGAACAGTGAAGGGCCGCAGAGAGACACAGTTTTGAGGGTCTTGTCAGGAGTCTGTCAAACGGGGTGTGCAGATACAGAGAGTCAGTAAGCAAACACTTGATAAGATGTGTGGTGGTAAGGTGCACCAGGGGTTGTGTCTGCAGGCTAGTCCTCTTGGGTTTATCACTGAGGAAAAACCAATAACATCTCATGAGGTGAAGAATCACAGGGCATTATGGCTGGTTTTGGATGGAGTGCAGGATCTGATGAATCTTGGTGCCATTTTGCGGTCTGCATATTTCCTGGGAGTGGATCGAATTGCCAGCAGCATTCATAACAGGTGGAGTTAAAAGAGGCATTTGTGTTTATTTCTTTATAACATTGTTAAGTGGAATGTAGGACCATTGTTTATTCGGTCATGTATTTTGTTAATGATTAAATGAAAATGTGTTTTACATATAACTTTGTATTAACCATTGACATCTGCTTGTGATTATTTTTTGTCTTTGTTAGCTGTCCTCTGACGCACACAGTGAGTAAAGCCACTGGTCATGGAGGTGTTTGGCTACGGCAACTTGAAAGATATGATTAAGGTCTGGAAGCTGATCCCTCCACTTCACCTCGTTTGGAATTTCAATGGGATTTACATGTTTAGACGTAGGTCAGATGTTCAGATATCGGATTTAAAACCTCATATGGAATTAACTCAGAATGGATGCGAAAAATCGGATCTTTTGCAGATTTTTATGTTTACGATCTGTGTCACATGTGAGTAAAAAACAGAATTTTTTGTGCCAGTGTAAACGTAGACTAAGTTTCCATTTGTAGCCAGTAGAGGGCAGTTAAATAACTCAAATGGGGTTTAGCTCATGGTTTTACAAATTGGTCCAGGTGGCCATAGCGATTGATTGATTGATTGATTGATTGATTGGCGATTATTATTTATTAGCAATGCTAACTAATCAAAATCAACAATTCTGAGCCCAAACAAATTGATGAATACGTGTTCAAGTGTTATTGCAGTGAATTCCATCAGGTGAATACTAGTGTCACTAATACTAATTATATAAATACATAATTATTGTTTTTTTACTGCAAAGCAACACAAAAATGGTATAAATATGAGCACAATTATTAAGAAAAGCTAATTTAATTTTGGGCCAAAAAAATCAGAAAGAAGTCCCATAAAATGATGTTTCAAGGTAACAAATAAAAACAAAACGGTAAATTGTTTTGTTTAAAAAAAATTCAGTGACACTGCAAAAACATAAATAATAAACTTTTATGCTACCACTATTTTTCTAACATATATTTTGATATTGCATTAAAATGTATAGCGTATATTTCAGGAAGGGGCTAATTTGCAAGGTGAGCATCATACTTATCAAAACAGAAGAAAAAAAACTTTAGTGAAAAAAAGAAAGAAATGCAGATGAAATTAAGAAAAAATAAATTTTTGAATATTTTTTTTTTTGTAACTTAATTGAGTTATGAAACAGGTTTTCATAATAAAATAAGCTTTTTTAATTATAGTGAATGGAAAATCCCATCTGTAGCCTGTAGAGGGCAGTTTAAGAAAACTGTTGAGGTTTAGACTGTGTCTGCCTAGTCCTTTTGAGAAATACATCTCATACTTAATCATCAGGACTTCCATTGTTTAATAGCTATAAACACATTTTTCTTCATATTATAGGTGAAAGCGGAAGAAGGTTGGCAAGTAGTTGGTACTGTTGGGTTAGAGGAATGCAGTCCTGAATTCACAGTTATGCCATGTTCAGATTTCAAGATGTCCAGACCTACACTACTGTTAATGGGTAACAGCAAGTGTGTGTTGAAACATATTTAGACTCATAATTGTTGTGTTCTCTTTGCGTTACACTGGTCTGTCTCTGTGTGTGCTATCAGGTGGAGAGGGTGACGGTCTTTCTCCAGAACTGCGTCAGATGTGTCGTCCTGCTCACCATCCCTCCACGCAGAAACCTGCACCCTGGAGTAGAATCTCTCACTGTGTCTGTAGCCACAGGTATGTTTATATAAGTAAATATTGTTCTAAATTACTGGTAACCTCAAAATGTATTTGTTAAAAAATTAACCACAGCTCAGGATAAACGTAAATTCATTTTTTTTTTACATTTAAAAAAAGATGAATTTACATTTTTAAAGTTTGTTTAAAAAGAATGACTTTTACATTAATTGAAATAAAAAATGAATGAAAATATCATCTGTAAATGTTTATTTTTTATTTAATACCATTGTAATGATATCTGCCAGATATCTTTATTCACTTTTAGGAGGCAAGTGTTATTGAATGTGTAGCTGATATGATGTAGTTTTTTATAAAATAATGATAAAAATAAATATAGCTGCAAGCAGCAATTACTGGGGTTCAAGCGCTTTAAGGCATTTAAGCACATAAGGAAAAATACATTACATATTATTTAGCAAGCCTGTAACCACCTAAATCAATTATTTAAAAAAGCAGTTTGGCAAATCCAGGCAATTTACCATAGAAATATGATGCTTTTTTTTTTTTAATGTTATGACTGTTATAGCATCAGCTGTGGTCCGATCTCCCTAGAACTTTGCATGCTTGTTTAGAATCATCTGTGGCATGTGCTCACCAGGGGCCTGTTTCATAAAACAAGTTCACCAAATAAGCCAGGTTTATTTCAGTTAGTCTCACTTATTGTCAGTTGATTTGGTTGAAAATAAGTCAGACTAACTGAAATAAGCCTGGCTTATTTGGTAAACCTGTTTTATGAAAGGCCCCAGGTTTCATGAAGTTTTGAGTTTTCATTTAGGTTTTATAGGCATTTGGGTATATTTGGGCAGGCCCCTTTTATAAATGACTCCGTTAAAGCTTCCCTAGGGTAAATTTCAACCTTTTTTTATAATTATTGACCTTGAGAGTCCAGAGAATTGTACAGCAGGGTTTTTTTTTTTTCCAGATTGAGCGTATAAGGTTTTTTACAACCTCTCCATAAACAAACGATTTGATTGACAGCAGTGGTTCTAGAGGCAAAGTTGTTCAGAATGAGGAGGTCTATTGTATGATGCGAATATATTGTGTTTATGTGTGAAAAACCACGCAATATACAATCGTGTGTACACCATTGAAAATACGATATCGCCCCCCAGTGGCCGATTTCTTTCAAATTTATCACAGACCTTTAGGTGTTGTGAGTCAAACCCACCGAGATTTGTTCAGATCGGCCTCTGTTAACCTTGTCTAATAGGTGCGCAAAGTTCATCGGCCAATGGCGGCCATGTTTTTTGAGCTACACAAATGTCCTTATAGACACTATGCTATAAAGAGTCCTTATAGCATTTTGGACCAAGACCGATTTTCCTGTTAATAGGACAAACGGTTGCGTAGTTAGGGCCATTTTTAGTTTTAGTTTTTATAGCGCCACTAAGTGGCCAAACTCCACAATGTTTTTCATGTGACCTCAGATCTTACATACGTGTTGTGAATTTGGTGAAGATATCTCATTCCGTTCAAAAGTTACAGTATAGCCGTTTTAGTAAAAGTGGCCCTGCCCCTTTTGAACGTTTTGGCGTCCCTTTGCGACGGAGAGTTGAAAGTACAGCTTTTTTAAATAATTATTGATATTCGCTTTCCAGAGAATAGTTCTAGTTCGCAAAAGTAGGTTTTTCAAAAAATCCAAAATACTTGAAAATTTTGCCA